AGCGCCTCCCCCGATCGCCAGCGGGGCGGAGGCGGGGCTGCGCTCGGCCTCACCGGTCCGCCCGCCACCCTCAGTCTCACCCGTCCGCCCGCCGCCGCCGGTCGCGTGGCGTGAGCTCCCCCGGGACCGCAGCTCGGGATGCTGCCCGCCGGCGCGCCGTCTCCCGCTCCTGCTCTCTTCTCCTGGGCCATGCCCCGCTGTTTACATGCCGGTGAAGCCCCCGGCCGCTCCGAGCCCCTCCAAGCCCTGGCGCCCCGAGGCTGAGCCAGCCTGCCCGCGAACTGGACTGGGCGCTGAGACCTGGAGCTCCGCACTCAGATCCCCGCCCGCTCCTCCACCTCCGCCACCATCTGGGCGGGCTCCGGCTCTGGTGTTTTGAGGAGGGGGTGTGGTGTAAGGAAAGGAATCCTGGGGATTTCTGCCCCCCACCTGCTTTTCTGGCCTTCGGGGCTTCAGACTCAGGGAACTCGCTCATGGCTTTCTTGATGAAGAAGAAGAAATTCAAATTCCAAACCACTTTGACCCTGGAGGAGCTGACTGCGGTCCCCTTCGTGAACGGGGTCCTCTTCTGCAAGGTCCGGCTGCTGGATGGCGGGGACTTTGTCAGCTTGTCGTCAAGGTAGGAGCTGGGGGAGTCGCGCCTGCAGGGGAGAGGGATTGGGAGCAAGATTTAGCCACTTGGCAAGTGTGAACGCACCCCTTGGGACTGGGAGAGTCCGGGGATTATGTGTGTCTGGGGCAGGTTTGCACAAGGCAAGACTGGGCCTGAGAGCTGGCAGGGTGCCAGGCACCCGTGTGCAGGTGACAGGCCAGATACCTGGGGTCTAGTCTTTCAGTCCCCTCCTGGGACCCTGCGTGCAGCCCACACCAGGCCCGTTCTGCAGACTGGCACTGTAGAGAGCAGGCCTGGTGCCTCCAGTGGTGAGAAAGATGTTGCAGGGCACTTTGCACCCCAGCTGGCCACTCCGACTGGCCTACGTTAGAACCTTGGCCAACCACAGGTTCTCTGCCACTCCTTGGACAAGGAAGGCCTGGTGCCCAGGCACTTGCTGGAGGGAGCCAGCAGGATTTTGGCCTGCCCAGCCCCCTCGGAGTGATTGTCCTCTTCTGACTAGAGCTGGGCTGCTTTGCATTGCAAATGCCCTTGTCCGAGAGGCTGCTGCCCTCTCTGAAAGAGGCTCCATGGAATTTGGCTTTGTGTCCATCCCCATCCTAGCCCAGCCTGTTGCTGATTGCGACTGTTCCCAGGTGGCCCCTCATGGTCAGGACCCGCCTAGGGTCACGTAGTGCTTGCCTGTCTGGAGAGAGCACTGGAGTTCAATAGATAGGGGTTTGAATCCTGGCTCTGCTGTTTTCTGGGCCTCTGTTGCCTTTGGAAAGTAGCCCTAATACAGGTCCAGAGTCAACGAGAAGTTTCAGCAGCGGGAATGTGGTGTGGGGCCACCCATTCCTGGGGCACCCTGTTTCTATTACCTGGCAGCCCTTCACCCCCCAGGCCTCCTCGTGGGTCCAGTTAGCTGGCTGCCTCACTGTCAAGAGATGGAAATGTGTGTTACCGATGGAGAAACTGAGGCCCAGAAAGAGGAAGTAGGGGCTTGCCAGGGACCTCACAGGAGGCAACTGTCAAATGAACTTGTCCCGGTTGGAGAATTCAGAGGTCAAAGGTTCTGCTGGGAGGAGGGGAGGGAAGGAAGCCCCACAGCCTAACCCAGATTTAGGAATCTCTGGTGTGGACAGGGTGGGGCGCCTTTTCTGTGCACTGGATTCGTGTTACGCTTTGAGCTGCTTATCTGAGGAATTTGGATAAGGGCTGCCCCTTGCAGTAGGGGGTGGAGGCTGTCCTTGGTTGTCTGGGAAGCCTGTGATCCTGGGGCCACCCACACAGTGGCCCAAGGTTTCAGAGGACGCAGAGCTCTGAGCTAGGGAACTAGTCAGCCACTTACGGTCTGGATGACCCGGGTGAGGTACCTAACTTCTGACTGAAAGACCCAGCAGTTATTGCAGATCTCCTTGGGTAACTAGCTCATCCAACTTCACCCTTTGTCATGGGGCAGGGATGGCAGTAGGGGGCATAGGATTAGTATCCTTGATTTTTAGAGGTAGGAATTGAGGCTCAGAGAAAGGGTGGTTTGCCTGAGCCCACTGAGCAGAACCCAGGTTCAAACTCAGGATATGCTTTTAACTGCTACGCTGTCAGGCCTCTGAGCCTCGGTTTCCTCTTCTGTAAAATGGGAAACTCTCAGCCACTCGGCAGATTGTGAGGGGAAGTGGGTAATGTATGTCCTGAGTCAGGCCCAGGCAAATGATTGCAGTGCTGTGGTCAGCCCCAACCCCTCCTGGACATCAGCAGAGGGCCAGGGCCCACACGTGAGCTGGGGGGTGGGAACAGGGACCTGGATCCCACCAAGAGCCCCAGGCTGAGATCTGGCTTGGCCTCCCAGTCCTAGAACCAGTCGTTCCCATTGCCCTAAACCTGCCCTGTCATCCGGGAAAGACTGGAAAGTTCCAGGTGCTAGCCCACAGGGTCTGGATTTCACCTCCCAGTTCCCTTCTTCCTTCCTGGCGAGCAGCCTTGGATTCCCTGAATCCGGCTAAGCCCTTTTCCTGGATGAAACCTGAGTGGGGCCAAGCAGGGAGGAATGAAGTTGAGCCCCTAAGGCTGGGCGCTGAGTGGGCCCTGGGACCTGTTAGCTGCAGAGCAGGTGTGATTGGAACCTGAAACTGGCTTTGAGTGGCTTTGGCTCTTGCTGGGCGTTTGCCCAGGAAATCGGGGTTCCTGGCTTCCTCCTCCCTCCATCCTCACCCACCCTGGTCTGTAGCCTGGGAGGGAGCCCTGTCTTATGGGTCACCCATCCCACCCCAGGTCTAGACCCAGTACCTATCCTCCCAACCCCAGGTACCCCTGAGATGGCACAGAAAGCTGGTGGTGACAGCTCGAGGCCCCACCCCTGCAGCACCCGCCCTCCTGTGCGCTGGGTGCCATGGTAACAGCTGGGTACACAGCTCGCCTGACCCAATTCGAGCAGGTGGAACAGGTGGTACTTGGGGCATTTCCTCACTCTCATCTCTCCGAGGCCTCCTTGCTGACAATAAGCCTCACAGCTACCGCATCCCAAGTACCCACCGCTCTGTGTGCCAGGCTCCGTGCTGAGTGTTTTGCAAATGATATATTTCCATGAATCCCGTTGGCCGTCCTGACAGGTGCCAAGGCCAGAGAGGTGAAATCACACGCCAGCGTTCCCCCGGTGGGGAAATAATGCTTTTATCATCCGGTTTAATCCATCTTTGATTGTGCTCTTACTGTGTGTAGGGCCTGGCTGAGCACCTCCCGGGGAGATGGCATGATCCCCCCTCTCTGATGAGCACACTGGGGTGGGTTAGGAGAGCTGAAGTGGCTGGAACCACGCCCTTCAACTGGGGCAGCAGAGGCAGGTCTGCATGTGGGCAGCTTCATCCCCGTAGGCCCATGGCAGGGCAGAAACAGCTTACAGACCCGTTAGCAGCCCCAGACCTTTGAAACGGCTTCTGTCGGTGGATTGGATGGGACAGGAAGATCCAGGGCCGGGCAGTTTGGAAGCACAGAAGTAGTTCTTGTGAGGGTCAAGGAACAGGGGCTGTCAGGTGGGGATGCCCCTGAAGTTATTACCGTGGACATTTGTCAAGGTCCCTGTCCAGCCACCTCCCTTGCAGGCTTCTACAAGGCTTTTCCAGGGGTCCCAGGAGGGATGCAGAGGTCCCGGCCAAGTCTGGCAAGTCGGACAGCAGCCAGCCTGTCCCAGGAGGCCTCAGGCAGGAAGAATCCCAAACATCCCAAGAGGCCTCTGCTCCCAGCTGGCACCAGTCCTGCAGCCTGCCCCGTGCACGTGGCTGGCGGTACCAGGGGAGGGGAGCGCAAGGGAGGCACTGCCTTACCTCACAGCAAGCTCTCTGGAGGACACAGGCAGAGAGTGTCTCCTCAACCAGTAGGTGGGGAAACGAGGCCTGGGGCAGAGACGTGACCAGTTCATAGGAGGGGCTGACGGCCTAGCCGGGTAGACTCTGGTCTGGCCTTGATCACGTCCTCATGCCTCAGTACTCGTCTTTGCACAAAGGAGTCAGTCAGGTTGGGCAGAGGAGAGGAGGGTCCCTGCAGGGCTCCCCTGCTCTGTACCTGGGTGCCAGGCTGTGGTTGGCGAGCCCCTCCCTCTCCGTTCTTCTCTGACAGCTTTGAACCCTCAGTTGGCTTCCCGTGGGGTCTTTTCCTGGGCAGAGGTCGATAGGGTGCAGGGCTGCTCACATGCAGGTGCCGCCAGCCTCCTGTGGGCACGGCCTGCTGCTGCCCAGGATGGCAGGCCTGTTTGCGATTCTTTGAGCATGAAGACAGCCTCAGTGCCGTGGCCAGAAGCCCCAGGCGGTCCCTGAGGAGGCCACGACTTGTCCTTCTCTGTCACACACCCATATCCCCACCCCTCACCCTAACCTTGGAAAGCTACAGAGTGCCACCAAGCTGCTGCCCTGCGAGGCCTGCCTCTGCTACATCAGGGCCTGGTGCTCTGAGCAGGCAGGGTGCAGATGGACACATGGTCCCCTCCCTCGGGGCTGAGGGGAGCAGGGGACGTGGGGATGCAGTGGAACCCTCAGGGTGGGCGGGGAATCGCCTTCTCTTTGTAGAGCAGGGGTTCTGGAGGCTGCATGTGTCCCTGTCCCACTTGATCAGGCCCCCGTGGTCCTGGGTCTCAGAGGTGAATGGGACCAGACAACCCGGTGCCTGTGGAGCTCCCAGAGGGGTGGGGCAGTATGCCTGGTGGGCAGGTCTCGGGTGGGTCCTTCTGGATCCCTTCAGGCCCTAGCAGACGCTGCAGGGAGGCATCTCTGTTCAGTTCTCTGTCCCTTAGCTGACAGACTTAGGCATAGCTGGACATGGCCCTTGCTTTTGTGGGGCTCACTGTCCCCTGATGGGCTTGTCACTGCTTTGGGAGGGTGTCTCCAAAGAAGTGATCCTTCATGGAAGCCTTGAAGGCTGGAAGGGATTGGCCCAGAAGGTGGCAAAGATCACTTGGAGGAGAGGCTGCTGCTCTGGGTGGTCCAGGCAAAGGAGTGGTGTGGTGGGCATGGGGAGGAGGGAAGGCTGGAGTGAATGAACATGGAGGTGGTTGCCTGGACTGTCCTTGACCGTTGGTGGAGGAGATACGAGAGGCCACACCAGTGCCCGTGGGCAGTGCTGACCTGACTGGGTGGTGGTGGCAGGTGGAGCAGGCAGTGGGTTCCTCATCCTGAAGGCCTGGAGCACACCTGATGTTTAGTAGGTGCTGGGTGACAGATATCCAGAGGTGCACAGTGGCAGATGGATCCAGGCTGTTACCGACCCCGTGGTGCATGAGCACCGAGCTAGATGGCATACAAAATCCAGACTTTCAGTTTTTGGGGTTTTTTTTGTTTTTTTTTTTTTAGAGGTTTTTGCTATAAGGTGCGTGCGCTCACCAAAAAGACAGAGAGAGAGAGAGAGAGACAAAAAGTGAGAAATCATCCCCCAGGGGGGATGGCCACACCCCAGTCCCTACTCCTCCATTCTCCTCTCGGGGTCTTGGGCACACACGCACATGCACCTGGTGTGAGTTTAAACCACCAGGTCCGGGACTC